TAAGCATAATTTCTAGGGACTAAATTGAAGGAAGACCAAACTCCAGGGACTTAGTTGCAAAAATCAGAATATTCGCATGTAATGTATGAACCTTTGAATCTTCGATTAATTAACCATCAATCCGAGCATTTCCAATTAAAATTTATTTATAATCTTGTGCGATTGGGTGAGATGAACAAAAGCCCCTTGCTAATTTTGGAAATTCAAGCTAGAAACAAATCAATTTCAAAGATTTCAGTTCGATTGTCCGTCGGCCTTTTTGGGTTTTTTTCCCAGCTTAATTTAGAAAATTTAGCCGATTAATAGTCGATTAACAGCATTGGTGACCTTCGTTTCGGCATTTCGAACAAACCAATAGAATCAAATTGTTAGAAATTGATGAAGAGCAAGGTAATTCGCAGATCCTTACATTTTTGTTTTTCTGTAGACTATGGGTTAACAAGAAAAAACCCGACTAGGTTTCGGAATAGGTCCGGGTTGGAATCAGGATTTGAGCTCTGGGTTAATGGGGCAAAGTTTGGGGATCTGGAATTGGGCCACTCAGTTTGGGCCTTGTTGTCTAGCCCAATTGAATTGGAACTATGCTGGTTGGGTTTTTATACAAGCTGGGCCATGGCCAAATTGGTTTGGACCAAAAAAATGGATTCTGGGTTATGGTTTAGACAGGATTCGGATCTGGGATCTAGATCCCTATATCAGAAAATATTAAATAATAGAAAATTTAACAAAAAATAGAAAAATGACCGGTTCATGGGTTTTTAGACCGGTTCTTGGCCGGTTCAAGGTATCTTTGGGAAGGAAATTAAATACTCTACCCGGTTCACGGCTGGTTCAATGGTGAATCGGTCGGTTCAATGTTAAAAATTTAAGAAGAATTATTTAGGTCACCAATTCAACATTGTTAAGGCCGGTTCAATGTAAATTCTAACCAGTTTAGTGGGTTTTATGTTCGGTTCAATCTGTTTGAGGTTTGGTTTAGTGTTGTTTTGACCGGTTCATGGTCGGTTCAACCTTCTAGTGACCAGTTCAAGACCGGTTTAGCATTTTAATGATTGGTTTAAAGGATAATTAGACAAGTTTATTGTTTTATGAGCCCAGTTCAAAAATTTAATACTTGGGATGTGAATTATGTAATTGGTTTGGGACCTTAAGAATTCCTGATATGAGTTTGAACACAAAAACCTAACAGAATAGGAAGGTTTTGATGGGAATTTGAATTTAAGTTAATTATGAGACAAATTATATTCTAAAATAAGAATTTTGATTATTTCTAGATTGAGTAATCGATTCTTGTGAAGCCGAAGTGTTGAAACTCGAGTTTCGTGGTTCTCCAGTGTCTGTGAGTAGTAATACATATTTATATGCTCCATTGTTTTCTGTATTTGTTAAATGAGCTTTTATATAAATTGTTTATAAATTCAGTTATTTCAAAATTGAAATTTAATATGTTATAAAAGTTTACAATGGACGTATATGAAATTTTCTTATTTGTTTGGAAGTGTCTTGAACTACTAATTCTAATTTCTGATATGTTGAACATTGAAAATCTGTAAAACTGATTTTTTTTGTTACTGTTATGTTTGGACATTTTGAAAAGTTGTAAACTGTTTGTGGTAAATATTGGAAAATGTTTTAAGGGAGTATCGAATGGTTAGAACACTGTAGCTAACGACAGTAGGCGTTAGACTGGATGCACCTTGGCTTGTATCCCCAGCTAGTAGGGCTAGTACTAAACTATCACGTGGAGCTGACATGATAGGCCTGTTTATTGATTATCGGCAGACTGTAAGATCGCCGTTCTGTTATATGTATACTGGCAGACCATGAAGTTGCCGTTTTGTTATATGTGATTCTGCCATTCTAGTGCATACATGTCGTTCTGCCATTTGTTTTAAGAAGAAAACTATATCATATATGCCCCTTGTCATGTAAATATGTGTTACTATTTACTGGGTCGTTAGACTTATATCTTAATTTTTCTAAACTCAGGTTCGACCGTACCGAAGGATCTGGTGGCATAAGAGGATTTTGTTGATCTTGATTTCTATGGTTCCAGCAGATTTGTTTTCCAAGTGTAGTAGTCAATTATTGTTCTTTCCTGATGTATTGTTTTGTTTAGCTCTACGATAACAGACAAGGTGTGAGTTTAAGAATTTTCAAATGTTGATAATTATATTAGATTTTTGAAAGTTTGTATTAGATTTTAAATATTATATTAAGTTGAGTTTTATTTGGTTCTGTTATAATTCTGAACATGAGAGGCTTACGGGTTGAGATTATCCTAATCCTAACACCGATCACGAATCTGACTCCCAGGTCGTGATAGGTGTTAAATAGTGAATCTCAAATGCGTGCAAGGTTCCATGTGGAGCCAATGACTAGTTTAAGGAATTGAGTTTTTAAATAGTTTCAGTTTCGAATCCGGTTTTAATATATATCACTGTGGTTATAGATACCCTGAGAAGACGTGTTCTGATAGCTGAGGGCATCCAGAGATTCTAGTTTCATCTTATTTTGTACTACGAGTGATAATAATTCCTTTATGCATGTGTTTTTTAAACTTTGATCACTATTTATTTATTATGTTATATGTTTTGGAAAATTAAACTCCGGGGTAGGTATTTAGTTTTGCTAAAATTTACAGTGAGCTTTTTGAATTACTTGGTTTTGATATAAAATTATGTCACTATTATATGTATATATAGTTTTTTCTAAACATTATTTATTGAGAGTTATTCTAGTTTCAATTCAGACGAACACGATTGTGTTCGAGCACTATATGCCTTGTGTGTGTTTTGTTTTGATTTTGGATTTAATTCTGATTTTGGTTTTGATTCTAGTCCAATACGAGATCCCGATATGACATGTGATATATGATAAGTGATATGTGATATTTTCAACATGATACGCTCTGCGTGAAATGAGATTCAAGTTCTGGTTTTGGTTTTCCGATGCTCTCTTGTGTTTTTGGACTTGTGAGGCATATATGTGTGGTTTTTAGAAATGTGTTCGTTTACTCACTGTCTCATATATATATATATATATATTGGCACATTTCACGAAACATATCTTAGCATGACTAGAACTTATAATACCATTCACTAAGTTTATACTTACTCATTTCTTAACAATTTTTAGATCATAGCGTGAGTTTGTCTTTCTAACGCATTCCCAACTAAGCACGTAGGTTTCTAATGAGCTGTACGAGATTTTATTTCTTATGTCACTTGTACTTTAAAGTTGCTCCATTTACTTATCAGATAGATTCCTGGTTGTACAGATTTTGATGATTATGTTCATTTATGTATTATAAATGTTGTTTTATCTGAGATTTACTGGGTTGATAAACCAGTCTTAGTACCATTCAATAACGTAGTTTTGGAACGTGACATTATGACTTACCAAGTTTGCTTAATTTATTAAATTTTCTTAGTAGTTGTTCTTTTTAATTAATTAAATTTAATTAATTTTATTATAAGTTTATAATTATGTAAGGACAAAGAGTTTGATGGATTTAGTTATAAATCGTAATTTCAAATTAAATTAAATCATAAACTATTATTAGATTGATTTTTGAAAATTCACATTAATTTAATTTTTAAAAATTATGAATTATAAAATATAATTTAATTTAGAGTTAAATCTCATATTGAATCGCAAACATCGCTAGCCCTACACGCGAGCGTGTGTGTAATGAAATTTTAAGGATTTTGATGGATAAATTTTTTTTTTGAGGAGAATATTTTAAAAATGTTTGTTTATGATTTAAAATAATTTAGTTTGATATTATAGATCAAATCAAATCATAAATTTGATTTATTTTTAGGAATCAAATTAAATTAAATTAAATTTAATAAAAAATCAAATCAAATTTTAAATCTAACACGTTTTGATTTGATTTAACACGGTTAATTGAAAATATTAGGACACAAACGGACTAATTTAAGAGAATACCATATTATACATCATGGTAAATTTATTACATACATCCTCCAAGAGGGGTTGATCACTACAACCAGATCAAAGAAAAATGAAAAGAAGAAAACACAGACAATACTAGAAAGATGAGAAACGAAGCCCTGCAGGGTGGACTCCCACCCCTCTCGTCTTATTCCCGTACGTAGTACTAACTCCTCCAGTGGAAAATGGATGGTCCATCTACCCCGGTCCCTCAGTGCACCCTGCAAGATGAACAGGAAATTTAATTTAAGGAAAAAAGAAATTATGAGAATGCAAAGGCAAGGGAATTCCACTTTCAAATTTCTCGTTTACGCCCTTCTGAAAAGGAAAAGGCAAGGGAATTCTTTTGAAATAAAAATTGAAGAAGTAATTCAAATTCTTCTTTTTCTTTACCTTGTGTCTGGCAGAAAGAAAGAACGGAATTTTGAATTGGAATTCAAATCCAAATCTTATTTTAGTGTTTGACAAAAATAAAATTTGGTATTTACAAATTTTATTTGCTGTTTGGAAAAAAATAGGGCTCGGAATTAGAAACAAAATTTTTATAACTATATCATTTTTATAAATATTTACAAGTATAACGTTTCTCTTTTTTTATGTATAAATTAACTGTGAAAATTATAAAGATTAGAAAATAGGATTTTATAAATTTTACATTTTTAAGTGAAAAAATAGCAAAATGCTCACTTACATATATTTCTCTTTTCACTATTATTTACAAACCCTGCTTTTTTAGATTTATATTTGATTTTTAAGTTCACAAATCATAAGAATTTTGTAATTTGTAAAGCTTAAAGCTTAGAGGTTTTTTTCTTCTTTATTTGAGGGCTCAAAAGCTCAATCCAATTTTCTTTTTTTAAACGGGCCGAAAAACCCAGTTAAATGTTTGACACCTAAACAAGAGTGTGTGTGTGTGTGTGTGTGTAGTCATAAATTGGATTCTAGCACGGTGAATCATCTACGTCTCAACTCAACATAGCATACAGGGGCAGATAAGAACGAGAGAGAGATTAGAGGTTATGAGGAGCGTAAAACATTAATTACTTGGAGCAGTCAATGGAAGGGCTGATCTTGTAGGGAATGCTGACGCCGCACTTTCCGGGGATGCCGGCAGCCTTGCTGAGGCCGGACGCGGGCACGGAGCTAGCGGCAGACTTCAAGCAATTGCAGACGACTTGGCGGTCTGCGCGGGTCGTAGCCATGCTGTTCAATGATCTCACACCGCTGCAGCAAGCTGGCGGCACCGCCGTTGCGCCACCCCTCAGGTAGTTCAGGCACTGCGACAGGCTTCCGACCACCTGCCCGCACCCGATCGCTGCCTCCGACGCCGGTGCTGCCACCAGTATAATGCACAGAGCCAAGCAAGCGATCTTCACTGCCGCCATGGAAACACACCTAGAGAAGGAATGAGATGAAGCTTTATTTTGTTATGCGAGAAGAAGTTTTGGAAGCTGAGATTGGGTGGTGGAGAGGTTGCGAGAAGGAGTTTATATAGAGATTCTGGGGGATAGGAACAGAAGAGGAGAAGTGATTCATTCAAGAGGACGGCCACGGGAGTGGATGGCGGTGGTTGAGGTAATTAATTCATTTTAATTTGATTGTATGGGTTCTTTCTTTTCCGCAGTATTTGCTGTAATGGAGACGGATGAACGTCTCTGTCAGTAGTATTTTAGAATTAGAAAAAGCATTTTTTTTTTTGAAATTTTAAATACAAAGATGGTTGTAGATTTGCAACTTTGTACATTTCATACTTCGCAAGATTGTTATTATCCAGAAGCAATCTATTTGTTAATCCAAGATTTAGAAACATATATATAGAGGTTGAGAAGATTTGTAGATAAATTAAATTAATTTTAAGCTTAGTGAAAACTTATTCATAACTCGGAAGCAAATAAACAACTTGTGAGTTGTATCTTATGTATCTTTAGGTACGCAGGGTAGCTCAGTTGGGTGTATTTAATATCATATTTTAATTTAGTGGAATAATATTATTGATGTTTAACAATACATATTTTTTTTGGTATGTATCATAACTTTATATATATATATATATATATCTCCCAGACGGTGAATAAAAATATCTATTTAGATCAGATAGGACTGTCAATAGATTGAATTTAATTCGAATTTGATCTGAATTTTAAACTCTTTAACTATTTAAAATGTCTGATAAATTAAATCCAATTATAAATATCTGTAATCAAAAATAAATGGATCAGATATGAAATTAAGTAATCTCATATATTAAAAATCCGAATTCAAATATTTTAATATTATTTTTTATTTAATTAATAATCATATATATTAATAAATACTTTTATACATAATGCAATATATGCAACGTGATAATTAATAATTCATTAATTTGTATTTGTAAGACATTTTATTTAATAGAATAATGTATATTTTTTTCTAAATTACTTTGAAATATTTTTTCACTTAATTACAAAATTTTTTAAGTTCTAATTATAATATAAAAATAATTTGATAATTTTATAAAGTATTAGAATCTTATAATAACTTTTGTAATATATTATATAATAAAATTTTTTTTAATCATTCATAAATAATAATTTATTTTAAAATTTTATTTATATTTTAATAAAATTAAAATAATTAAATATAAATTTTTATTATTTATAAATATAATTTATTTAATTTTATATAACTTTTATTTATTAATTATTTAATTTTAATTATTATTTTAATTAAATTTTTTATCTAAATTCTAAATTTTTATTAAATTTAAATATAATAATAATAAATAAAAATTATATAAAATTTTGGACAAAATTTAATTATCTATGTATTAATAATCAAATTTAAATTCAAATAACGGCAATTTTAACCGTATCCAACCCGTTTAATACTTAAATTTTTAGATTCGCTTTTGCGGATGTCAGACTGATTTAATAGCTCATAAGTGAGTCTGTTCCCAGAAGGCAAAATTAGGTCTGTCAAGGCTAGATTGGTCCGACGCCAAGAAGGGACCGAGATTTTCTTATTCTTTTTTTTTTTTTTCCTACTTTGACCTTTAAAATAGAGAATTTTTGATATTTAATATTTTAAAATTAAAAATATATTTTATATTTAATTGACTATTAAAATTAAAGAACTAATTTAAAATTTTATATAATTAGCGACAAAAAATACAATAAATAACTTGAAAAATAAATATTTGAGTGTTTATATATTTTTATGATCCAAATATTTCAAAGTGTCTAAAAACTTTTTGACAATCAAGTGTATAAATAATTTGTTCTCTACTAAAAGATTATTATGTTAAAATTAGAGAGAATAAAGATTAAAGAAAATAAATAAGAAATCATACATAATTTTAATAAAACTAGATAAATAAGAAATAATACGATAAAATTAAAAAGAGAATGAGATTGAAACATGAATTATTGTTAAAAGAACAATCTGGGCTTCAATATTTTATTTTAAGGGATAGATAATAGGAATTTGTCTATTTGTCCACTTAGAAATATATATAAGATTTGTACATATTAATATTTTATTTTATCAAAAGTTTTTTTTTAGTTTTAAAATTTTAAATTTTAAACAATATCAATTTTTTAATATTTTACTGCCATTAATGTGTATATAAATTAAGTAAAAATTTATTAAATATAATAGAAATAACAAAAAATAAAGAGTTCAAATTATTTATAATTTTTTTTACTCTCTATTTATATAAGATTTTAAATTTATCTTTAATTTTAATGATCAATTAAATATAGAGTGCATTTTCGTAATTTTTGAATGTTAAGTATCAAATTTAAAATTTTAGAATACAAAATATCCAAAAAAAAAATTTTTTAATCAAAATTATTAGCTTCAAAAAATTTACTAAACACTAACTAATTTGGATCATAATAGTTAAAATCTCGCGGCAAAATAAAACTTTCATAGTAAAATATTTTTATATAAGGCTCGAATTTAAAATATTATTTAAAAAATATAATAACTGCAATTTTAATCCACCACCCACCCATTGGTGAACCAAGATCATCTTTGAATTGCATAACACCTGCCCAATAGCCTATTGCATTTGGGGTCTGTCAAGTCCTTTTCAATCACCTAAAAACGAGTACCCAATATTTATGGGCAACGCGGGTAGGTAGTTGTAACAGGAAAAAACTTCAGGCGGTAGTGATATCTTGCTTCCACCCGCCTCTGAACGCCGCATGTACTATTTCCCGTGAAAAAAAAAATGAAGAATTTTTACTCTTTGTTTTTCACGCTGTCAAAGTTGCAGAGGTCGACAGAAGCACCTACGAGGCGAGAAACCTCCGTGATCAGTGGTTTTCAGAATTGCAGAGAAATGAGTGGAAGTAGCCAAACTTACCTGTATTTGGAAGATGAAATTTTTGAAGGGAACAAAAATTACACAAAGTTGAGAAAGTAGACGATCAAATTTTTCGCTATTAATTGTTTCGTTTATTAAGAATCAATGTAATTAATAATAAATACCTAAATTTTCCTTCACCTCAACATTTATTAAAGTGGTATTCATCTCATTCCTGAGAGAATTGGGAGTGGAATTAACAAAAAACAAACTTGTTATGATCAATAAATATTTGGTGATAATAAATAAATCTTTACAAAAAATTTATTTTTTTACAATTAGATACATGGACTCTTTTTTTTTCTTTTCTTTTAAGATCCAACAGAGATGGGATGGGAAAAAGATAGCTTTGCACTTTCCTCCTCTTTTTCAATCAGAAAATAATGGTGTTGTCCGGATAAGTCCAAATTTTTATTTTTAATTTATTTTTTTTCTTGATGTGTGATTTAGACTAAAATGTTATAGACTCGAGAGGAAAGTGATAAAAGAATCATCCCTCTGAAAATATGATTTTATAATTTTCTGACTCTTAGATTTTTTATAGAATCTTTTAATTTAATTTTTTAACATTTAAATGGAATGTAAAATATGATGTGATAAAAAATGAAAAAATATTTATTGATTTAACATTTATATATATTTTTGTTGATATAACCAAAAGAAAAAAAAAGATCCATATATTCAAAATAAATTAAATATCAACATTCTCTTAAGACATCCAGTATTGACAGATCTATTGGGTCGGATACGAAGGATTGGACCCCCTCTCCTCTCAAATGATGAAGCTATGGGAGCCCTTGCTTCCCTCGTCTGTTGTTTTGTTTGTATTGGATTTCAGTTCCAATTGTAACCCAAAAAGAAAAGCTTAACTATGTACCGGAGTTCTCTGGCCACTTGCCTTTCTTCTCAATAATTGAACAACGGCGTTCATCTTAATTGCCAATCAGTGATTAGTATGTAATTTTTTTAACCTTATTTGAATCAACGGCTAGCTGCAGGCTAGGAAACGGTTTCAAAATTAACGTGAAGCAGTTCCTGCTAGGGACACCAGAGAGTGAGGTTAAGTGGAGCTTTCTTGTTCTTAGAGAATAGAATAAAGATAATTAGTCTGAAAGCTCGAGTGGGTTCATCATCTTGCCGGCCAAATCATCTCCATAATATTATTTTCGTTTTTACCGCCCTCTGGGATTGCTGTTGTAAATCAGAGTGGTGGCTCTTGTTTGGCATCTCATCGCCGTGGCTTTTGTTTTCTCCTCCTCGCATATCTCTCCCACCGCTGGGCATCTTCTTATTTTTATCTCAGAAGGTCCCAAGAGGTTGGAATTTATTTGTATGACAAAGATAAACTAAATCGAAAAAGAATGTACAACCAAGTGAATTTTATATAAGCTTGGATTTGGAATCAATGAGTCTCTAATGTGATCATTTCCACGATTCCAAATAAAACTGGAGATTGCAACTTGTAATATAAAATATGCAAAAAGATGATTATTTAGATGTAAAAAGATCTTAGGTCTAATTAATTTCTCAAGGGGCTCACTTAAACTTAAATTCTTTTTTTTTTTTTTGGGGGGGGGAACATTAGGATTTTTTTGTCATATTCCCAAAAGTGGGTACGTAACTAACACGAAACAGAACCAATTGCCAAAGTTCAATTAGGGTCACTGTACAAATTTAACTAAGTGTAAAATTTTTTAGAAAAATTTTGGTAGAGTTTCCTCTAAAATTGGACTTAACCCAAATTTCAAACCTGACCAAATTTCACAGTTTGTAGTTTCCTAACAATGACCCCAGACAATTTACAATTCATCAATGTAAAAATTTATAGCACAAAGCATGAGTACCACAAAACAAGACCTGTTTGTGCCAATAGAATTATCTAAAGTATAAGTATTAGTGTTTACAAAAGAATAATGAATACAATGCAAAATTTATCAAATAGTTATACAAAATGATGCCCACATAAAAGGTAGGCTCACCATGAGGGTATAACCTCAAGGTATCAGCTAGAAATGGGGAGGTGGTCTGCACTAG